TTTCCTATTTTTTCAAATTAATTGAAATTGATTGTTCATTGAATGTTTTCTAGAATTTAATTGTAAATCCATTTGGCCCTGAAATATTTTTCTTTGGAAGTTCATTCATGCCTTGTTCAATTTTTTTTTCATTTTGCTGATATTGGGTTATTTAAATAATCTTTTTTATCTGGTATTTTGTTTTTTGTAACTTAATCAATTTCTTCTAAGTTATTAGTTTTATTACTTTATGGTTCGACAAAATGGTTTCTTATAATTTCCTTTATTTACTTTTCAATTGTTATAAATTCCCCTCAAAGTTTTTTTTTTAATCAGCATTTTGGTTTTCTGCTCTTTTAAAAATTCAGATGAGCTGTTTCTTTTATTAGCTTCTTTTTTTAAAAAAAGAAAGAAACCAGCTCCTATTTTTTATTAATCATTTGAAAAGAGTTGTTTTTGTTTTCAATTTTTATTAATCTCTGATTTTTCAGAATTTCTGCTTTGATATTTAATTGGAGGGGTTTTTTTTGTTGCTATTGGTTCTCATTTTGTTTTGTTCTTAGCTGTGCGCCCAGTCCTTTCCTGAAAGAGATCCCAAAATGAACTTCCAGGAATGTTATAACCAAATTTCAAGCTTCCAAATCAAGGAGAAAATATTGCAAGAATCCAGAAAGAAACAATTCAAATATTGTGGAGTCACGGTCAAGATAACATAAAATTTAGGAGCCTCTACATTAAAGGATCAGAGGGCTTAGGATATGACGGATGTTCCAGAAGGCAAAGGAGCTAGGTTTACAACCAAGAATAACTTAACCAGCAAAACTGAATGTAATCTTTCAGGGAGAAAATGCATATTTAACAATAAAGGACTTTCAAGCATTCCTGATGAAGCAACCAAAACTGAATAGAAAATTTGACTTTCAAATATAAGACTCAAGAGAAGTATAAAAAGATAAATATGAAAGAAATCATAAGAGCTTCAAAAAGTTTGAACTACTTACATTCCTACACAGGAAGATGATACTTGTAACTCCTAAGGACTTTATCATTATTAGGACAATTTGAAGGAATATACGTAGAGGACATGGGTGTGACTTGACTATGATGATATGATTTCAAAAACTAAAATAAAACAAAAGGATGAGAAAAAGGTTTCTACAGGGAGAAGAGAGAAGGGAGAAGCAAAATGGGGGAAATTATCTCACATAAAAGAGGTACAAAAGGAAGAGCTTTTACAATGGTGGGGAAGATGGGGAGTGATGGGCAATACTTAAATCTTACTCTCATCAGAATTATCTCAAAGTGGGAATAACATTACATCCTCGGGTATAGAAACCCATCTTACCCTATAGGGAAATAGGAGAGAAAGGGGATGAGAGAAGAAAAGGGGCTGATAAAAGGGATGGTAGATTAAGGGAGGCAGTGGTCAGAAGCAAAATAGACTTTTGAGGAGGCACAAGTTAGAAAGAGAGAAAAGGATAAATGGGATATTTTGGTAAGTGATACCAAAACAGTTGTTTATTGATGACATAATCAACAGAAAGTTCTACTCTTTTCCTGGAGACATGTATCTAAAATGTGTTAGAGACTTCCTGAGATATACCTAACTTGATGATGCCTACCCACTTTAAGTGATTCACATGCAGGCAAAATATACCACTGGAAAGTACCTAGGAAGAATTTTTAAGGATTTTGAAGTCATAGACAAAAAAAATAATCTAAATAATAGGAAATTTAAAAAAAAGATGCAAATCTGTGAAATAGAATCAAGATGACAGAGTAAGAAGAAACATTATACCCTACTTCACCCTCCAAACCTCCATAAAGATCAAGAAAACACACCAGACTCAATTCTGAAGGGGAAATCCAAGAAAAAGTAAAAATGAATCATTTTTCCAGTCCATGGAGCGCTAGGGAGGCAAAAAAGTCTGTGCACACTGGAGACTGGGTCTGGCCAGCAGCATAGAACATTGCAGCATGTAAGGGACTAAGAGAGGGCTGACACTGGGCATCAGGGCAGGAAGATATCCCAGGGGATCCCTGGACTAGCACGGGGTACAGGAACAAGTACTACCTGGCATTTCTATCTTTCACTACCTAGTTCCAGGTCATAAATCCAGAGTAGAAAGGAGTGTTCCCATGGGAGTCAAGATGGTGGCAGGGAGTACAGCCTGGCTCTCCATTAAACCTCCTCCACAAAGATCTACAAAATGCAACAGACCAAATTCCCATCATGAAAGTCAAGGAAAAGTCATAGTGAATCATTTCTCCAGCCCAGCACAGCTTAGGGAGAAAGAGAGGTTTATGGATACCGAGGATGGAGTCTGACCAGGGGTGCAGGTGATGCAGAATATTTCAGCATGTAGGACTGAAAGAGGGCCAAAACAGGTTTCCAGGGCAGAAAGAGATGCCAAGAGATCCCTAACTAGTGCTGAGTACAGGAAAGGATACCATCTAGCAACTCTGTCACTTACTACCCAGTTCTGGGACACAGATACAGGATGGAGAGGAGTAGTCTGGGAGCAGGGTCCTAGCTGCACACTGAGCAAGGAACAAGTTCCTGAAGCAAACAATAGCTTTGTTGCTCTGATCCCAGAAGCAGGGTGGAGACTCAGTTTGAGCCTCCAGTCTAGTGTGGAGGCTTATAGTGGAATAATCAAGGCAGAAGTCCCAAAGGGGGAAAACATGCACTTCATTCATTCTGAACCTAGAGAGCCTCCCAACAGATTAATAGTAGCTGAGTACAGGAGCAGCCTACTGAAACTGCCAACCAATGACAACCTAACAGACCCAGACCTGGAAGGACAGTGAGCAGGCTTTGCCTAGAATCATATCACTTAGGGAGCACTGAAGCTCTAGCCTGAGGTGTGAAAGCAGCAGAAGGATGCAAAGGACAGAAGCTCAGGCCAGACATTCCCCTCAGGAGTACAAAGAGCCCAGCATTAACATAAAGTCCAAACCCAAGAAGGAGGAAAGAAAAATGAGGAAACAAACAAAAAACCCCATCATAGAGAGCTGTTGAATGACAGGGACACAAACTCAGAAGAAGAGAATGACTTGAAAATATCTACAAGCAAGACCTCAAAGAAAAATGCAGCTGGAACACAAATCCAATAAGAATTCCTGGAAAAGTTAAAGACAGAATTTAAAAAAAAAAAAAGCTAAAAAATGATTTAAAAAACCAAACAAGAGCAATGGAACAAAGATATAAAAGATGTAAGAGCTTGGAATGAAAGGTAAAAAAATCTTATCAAGAAAATAACTCTCTGAAAATTAGAATTGACCAAAGAGAAACTAAAAACTCCACAAGACAGTAAGAAATATTAAAACAAAGTAAAAAGACTGAAAAAAAATGAAGAAAATGTGAATTATCTCACAGCAAAAACTGACCTGGAAGACAGATTGAGAAGAGCTAGCTAAAAAGACAGTGTCTGAGAATAGGATTTGGATGTCTTAAAATATAGGAATGGTTGGCTCTTGACCAGGAGCAGAGTACATATAAGAAATATCAGAGGAAAAAAAAAATTTGCCTGGGATTTTGTGAATCTAAGCTAGAGTCTTAGATTCTAAGCTTTAGATGGGAAGTGGAAGGTGCCCATACAAATCTGCAAACCTGGTACCATAAAGGAAGGTACATGTAATATTGAAAGAGTAACGCTGGAAGAGAGTGTTGAGGTCAGATTTCAGAGTGTGGTTCAGGTGTGAAAGAATTCACTGAGATGACTTTCTCTCAACTAAGGGGAGCTTTATTGACACAAAAACAGCTATTTACAGAGGGACAGAGGCTTGGTTTTATAAAGACAGCATAAGGAAGACAGGTGAAATTTTATGACCCAGGTTGAGGGAGACAAGGAATTTTATGGTCCAGGATAAGGGGAAGTTTTCCGGTATTTCAAGATAAGGGGGAGAAACTTTAGGATGCCCTTAAGCTCAGGAGGGGCCTCACAAAGTACTGGAAAAGCAAACTTTAATATTCTTTTTAACCTTTAGGGTACCATTTGTATCCACATCAAGAGTAAAACCCAGGAGAGAGCCATCAATAAATGCAGTAGCATAAGGTATCTATGTACAGATGCACAAAGTGTGGATAATATTAAGAAAAAAATATTTCTTCTAATGAAGCAAATTAACTCAGGAACAAATAAGACTTTCAGGAGAGAGACCAGAGGCCTGACTTTAGACTGGACTATCCTCAGGGATCAAGGTTCACAAAGAGTTTTTTATGCATTCTGAAGTACACAAAAACTACCCATTAACTACTTATAAAGGAAAAAAACAGACGCAGAATACAATCAGTTCCTCGAATTATTTACAGCCTTGCTATTAAAACAAAGAATTAACATTACATTTCAAATTCCTGAGGTCACTTGTTGCCTCCTCAAGGTAAAGCTTTCTGCTCAATTAAGAATTTAAGCTTTTTGTATCTTTATCATTTCTTCTCTTCTAAGATTTTTATCTTTATAGCTTAATTAAATGTAAGTAACCAGACTGAATTTTCTCTCCCATCACTGGTTTTCAACATTTGTTACATCCTAATTTTAGCTTTAGGCTGTGAGAGGGGGAAGGATTTTTGGACAAAATGCAAGACTATAAAAGACATAATCTAATAAACATCTATAGAACCACTAAATCAGTGAATGAGGAGGTGGCAGTTCTAAGGATGTATCTGCCCTAATTGTATAGGTTGAGAAACTGAGAAAGGTGATGGTCATAAATTCAGAACAATAGAAATATAAGTAATAGAGTCTTTTACCCCTGTATTCTTATCATAAGGGGTTAAGGGATGTCTGATGATTGTACCAGTAAGATGTATCACTTGGCTGTTGTCCTTCATTTTTTTTTTTTAGGCAATTGTGGTTAAGTGACTTGCCCAGGATCACACAGCTAGTAAGTGTCAAGTGACTGCTCTGAGGCTGGATTTGAAATCAGGTCCTGACTTCAGGGCCTGTGCTCTATCCACTGTGCCACCTAGCTGCCCTGTTGTCCTTCATTCTTGAAGAGGGCCAAAATAACATCACTATGTTGACTGATACAAGCTCAGAAGGCTTTACCACACACAGGTAAGGCACAAATAGTCCACATAAACAATTGGAGTGGAGATGTCTCTAAATTTGCACATCTCGCCTTTCTTTTGAACTACTGCATTTCTGCTTTGCTCATAACAGCACAGCACCTTCTTTGATGTGGGCATGCCATGCTGAATGGTCCTTTGCTAGTGTCTCCCACATCTCCCAATTGATTCTAAAGTTCTTCAGAGATACCTTGAGAGTGTTCTTGTATTGCCTCTGCTGACTTCCATGTAAGCACTTGCCTCTTGTGAGTTTTACATAAAATAATCTTTTGGGTAAACATACATTTTTTGTTTGAACAACATGGCTAGTCCATCAGAGTTGCACTTTTTGTGATAGAGTTTGAATGCTTAGCAGTGTCAACTATTACAGAGCTCGTTCTAAGTAAGACAAACAAAATTAGGCTGCATGTGCATGTTTATTTCTCTCAAAGATGCCAAATCACGCATATAGAGATATGCATGGGAGTTCATTGTGAAAATGAGCCCAAGGATGGATAGATAAAGGGGACCTTATATTCTCAGAGCAATTCCCTCTCACCCCTCCCTCCCCTCCTTGCTCAGGATGCCTGTGTCAGTCAAAATTATAGTCTCCATATGTGTTAAACATAATATGATAAAAGAGTTTCTTAATAGGATAGATTGTAAATACAAAAGATAAGAGAAGTGTCAAAGTGTCAATTGAAATTATAGTTCCAAGATATCTGTGTTTCTTCTGTCATTAACATGACATAATATAACATAATTAACATAATATAGCATGTGTCAATAAAATACCAAGATAAGAGAAATGCCATTTATTCAAGACAGTGACTGGTTCAAGGCACCTTGTCCTTGGCAGTCATAAACAGAAGAATGCTTCTGGTCAGCTTCATCTAACCTTGTAATTGCTGACACAGGAAGGGGCACTTTGGCTTCACTCAGAGAGTAAAGCAAAGCATGTTATGCCTGAGCATGCAAAGCATTATGGTAGGTTAAGCTCAGAATGGGCCAAAATGTCTTTCTTCTGACCGGCCAGTCCAGATTTTAGACCTTTCTCAGGTCTTGGGGGGCTGAAAATGATCTCAAAGGATCCTCAGTAATTTAGCTTGAGAAAGGACCTCAATGTTTGGCACCTTATCTTGCCGGGTGATCTTCAGAATCTTCCTAAGATAGTTCAAATGGAAACAATTTAGTTTCATGGCATGGTGCTGGTATACTAGTCCAGGTTTCACAGGCATACAACAATAAGGTCAGCACAATAGCTCTGTTTGGTAAACAGTCCAATACCTCTTCTCTCCCACACTTTCTTTTGGAGCCTCCCAAACACTGAGCTACCTCTGGCAATGTGTGTGTCAACCTTGTCATCTATGTGTACATCTCTGGAAAGTGTACTGCCAAGGTAAGTGAATTTATCCACAATATTCAAAATTTCTTCATTTGCTGTAACCAATGGTTCCACAGATGGATGGCATGGTATTGGCTGGTGGAGAACCTGTGTTTTCTGGGTGTTAATTATTAGGCCAAAATTAGCACATGCAGCAGAAAATTGATCCATATTTTGTTGCATCTCAGCCTCGGAGGCTCCTCAATTAAAGTGATCTGATAGAGATAAAGCTGAAGTGCCGCATATTTCTGGTTTAAGTCTTTTAGGTTTCTACTTATGTTTATTTCAAAATCTTTCATTTCTAGATACTTCAAGCTAGTCATTTTGTTCATATTTTAAAGAAGCTTATAGTCTTCACTGTCAAGTATGTGGCCATTTTGGAGAGCATGTCCTGGCACAGCCCTGTGATATCAGCCTGGATGGGCTCTGTGGCCTCACTGTCTCCACCGTCTAGGCTGAGGAAGGGAGGAAGGAGAAAGGATAGAGGAAGAGAGGAGAAGGGAGAAGAGGGACGGGAAGGGAAGGAGAGAACAAGGGGAAAGGAAAGGGCAGAAGGCCTCTTGTTTCAATTTCAATTTCAACTTTAACTTTTTTTTGGGTTGACTTTGCTTTTCTGACTCTGCTTCCCACCAAAACCACATGGCCTCTGTTGAGGATGGGAATCCTAGTCTAAATTCTCATCAAGGTATTTGACAATTTTCTCTTTTTTTGGGGGGGGGGCGAATCTCTTTCAGGAGATGATCAGTGGATTCTTTCAATTTCTATTTTACACTCTAGTTCTAGAATATCAGGGGATAATTTTTGAAAGATGATGTCTAGGCTCTTTATTTGATCATGGCTTCCAGGAAGTCCAATAATTTTTGTTTTTGTCTGTTTTTTGGAGGGTTTTTTGGTGAGGCAGGTGGGGTTAAGTGACTTGCCCAGAGTCACACAGCTAGTAAGTGTTATGTGTCTTGAGGCCAGATTTGAACTCAGGTCCTCCTGACTCCAAGGCTGGAGCTCTATCCACTGCACCACCTAGCTGCCCCTTTTTTTCTTATTTGTTTGTTTTTGTCTAAATCCAGCAATTTTTAAATTATCTGTCTTGGATCTATTTTCTAGGTCAGTTCTTTTTCCAGTGAGATATTTCATATTGTCTTCTATTTTTCATTCTTTTGGTTTTGTTTTATTGTTTCTTGATGTCTCATAAAGTCGTTAGCTTCCATTTGCTCCATTCTAATTTTTAAGGAATTATTTTCTTCATGAGCTTTTGTATCTCCTTTTCCATTTGGACAATTCTGCTTTTTAAGGCTTTCTTCTCCTCATTGGCTTTTTGGACCTCTTTTACCATTTGGCCTAATCTGTTTTTAAGGTCTTATTTTCTTTAATTTTGTGTGTGTGTGTGTGTGTGTGTGTGTGTGTGTGTGTGTGTGTGTTTCCTTTACCAAGACTCATTTTTCATGATTTTCTGGAATCATTCTCATTTCTATTCCCAATTTTTCCTCTGCCTCTCTTGATTTTCAAAATCTTTTTTGGGCTCTTCCATGGCCTGAGACCAAGTCATATTTTTCTTGGAGGTTTTGGATGGAGGACGATAACTTTGTTATCTTCTGTGTATTTTGATCTTCCTTGTCATCATAGTAACTTTCTATGGTCAGAATTTTTTCTGTTGTTTGCTCATTTCCCCAGCCTATTATTTGACTTTTAACTCTTTGTTACAAAGTAGGGCTCTGCTTCCAGGGTGGAGGCACACTATCCCAAACTTGAGGGGTTTTGCACAGCTGTTTTCAGAGGTACATCTAGGGACCTGTATGTTTTCAGTTCTTCCAAGGTGGTATGATCTAAGGAGAAATGTTTACTACTCTCCTGGCCTGTGCTATGGTCTGTGAGTGACCACAAGCACTCTTTTCTGCCCTGGAACTGTGACAAGAGTCCCTGCTCCACTGTGGCTGCAAGCTGTGGTGTGCTACTGCTCCTCCTCACCCTGGGACTGCCACCCAGGAGTGTGACTCAGATCTGTGTACGGACAAAGCAACAGAGTCCTGCCTTGGTGCTAGCAAAGAGACTCTTGTAATCCCTTCTGACCAGTTGTTCGACCCCCTGACTGTCTGTGAGCTGAGAGCTCTGGAAGCAGCTGCTGCTGCTGCTGATTTAGTGGCTCCCAACTGCTGCTTCTGGTTTGCTGGGGCTGGGGCTGGGGCTATACTGGTACAGGCTGTGCTGGGCTCTGCTCTACTCTCACCCTGGTACAACAGACCTTTCCTGTCGATCTTCTAAGTTGTCTTGGGCTGGAAAATTATTTCACTCTGTCTTTCTGTGGGTTCTGCCACTCTAGAATTTGTTTAAAGATATTTGGAGGGCTTTGGGGGAGAGCTCAGGTGAGTCTCTGCCTTTACTCTGCCATCTTGGCTCCTCCTCCCTTGACATTTTGCTGATCAAAGGATCTTTCTAAAGGAAATTGCAGTTGTTTACTGTCTTGAGTAAAAAAAAAAGTTTCACTTCTTCAGAAATCATATATAACTTGAACCATAATTAGTATACATAAAATACAACAGCATCATCTTCGGAAAGGGTAAGCAAGGAGTGTTAGAGGCAACTCCTCTCATTATTAAAACCACATAAATTTTCCCAGCCCCTCACAATCAGATTAAAATAGACTAAAACTGTAGGACTACCAGAGTTGTTCCTGCCAAATCTGCCACACTGACACCAAACTGAGAAGAACACTACAAGGCCAAAGTGGTGAGGCAATAATGGAGATTCTCCACAAATGTGAAGGATGCTGGTCTCAAAGACTCACTTCTGATACCAATACATCAGCTTCATTACGGATACATAAATGGGACTGACCACAGCCAAGGGAAAGAGCCAACATTAGAGAATTATCTGGAATTATAGCATTAAAGAGTGTACTTAGCAGTGTAATAAGAGGCTGGCTCATGGGCAGAGAGCCTGGAGAGAGGTGCTGAGGAGCCTGCTCCTAGGAGAACTGTGATGACATGGAATGCAAGTGACTTGAAGAGAACTTGAACACAAGTGGACATTCCATAACCAGTTCCTGTTTGATAATCCGAGTTAGGAGGAGCCCTTTTTGATTAACTGCATTGCTGGAACTAGGATTTCTTAAACATGCAAAGCTGGCCTCAGTTTAGGCCTTTTTGGCCATTTGTTCTTTGCCTTAGTGTTCTTGGGCGACCTTTATGACTCCTTCACTCATGGCACATACTGTTCCTCTCTGGAGAGGGAGCCAGAGCATGCTGGCAACAAGTGGGAGCTAGTCCAGGAAGAATGCTGTGGGCTCACTCTCCTGGAACTAGGGGGGCTATATTTGCCCTTCAGGGTAGCCTGAGGGGTTTTGGGTGGGCAGGTCTCTACTGCCATTGGTTTGACCTCTCATGGCTATATTTCTCCCCGCTGTTAGGCACCAATGACTACCTCCCTAGTACCATTTAACCACTTGATATCAAGCATCTTTTATTTAAAAAAGATACTTTAGCTTGAAAATATAATAATTACAAAGTATGACTATTTTCCCCAAAACCTTGGGGATACCTTCATAGCTCCTAGCTGACATTGGTACCACCAAGTTTATGTCCAGATACAATCTGACAACTGAATGGTTCCTTATCACAGGCCTAGGTCCAGAAATTTACTCTTTGCTCCCTGGGACACTGACGCAGCTACAAAATCCAGATTCTGGAATTCTCTCCTGCCCTTTTTAAACTTATGAGGTTGGAGGCTACAATCTTTTTCACCTAAAACAGGAAAAAACAAACCAAGCAAGTGCAGAGGCCTCAGAGGGGAAGAAGGCCCTAAGATCTCTCTCCGTAGAGCATTATGTTTCACCACTGAACACTGTGAATAAAGGAATTACCAAGATCCCCAAGAGCACTCAGGTGAAGAGCAAATGGCCAGAAAGGCCCAGGCTGAGGCTGACTCAGCCTTTTTTGAGATGTCTCCAGTTCTGGCCATAAAGCCATTTAAAAAAGGCCTAACCAATGTGGTTAGCAGACTAGAGCCACGCTCAAGTCTCTCCAAGGCATTTTTATTCTATGTCATCATGAGTGTCCTGGAAGCAGGATCCTCAATGTCTCTACACAGGGAGGCTTTGTCCCAGGTGCTCTGCTTATGTTCCTCACCCCCATTACACTAGTATTCCACCTCTTGGAGTCCTTGGATATGCATTGTTATCCCACTTCTGACACTAAAATTGCTAAGTACAAAAATAATTCTCCCAACAAAGTGAATTAGCTCAGGAACCAAGCAAGATTTTGCAGGAGAGACCTGAGGCCAGAATTTAGACTGGACAGACTTTAATTATAGATCAAGATTTGCAGACAGGTTTTCACATGTTCCAAATAGCAAAAACTTTATCTAATTGATAAACACACAGTTAGCAGCTTGCAGAGAAAAAAACAGATGCAGAAACAAAGGAATGGGATATAAAAAAAAATTCAGTTGCAATCAGTTAACTTGAATTATTTATGCAGTTAAAACAAAAAGTATTTTATCTTAAAACTGTTGCGGGCTGAGAGGTTGAGAGGTTGTGACCCCTCAAAGACTGAAGTACATGGGTCATCTGGAATGAATTCACAGACTCAAGCATTCTTTAAGACAAGGTGGCAAAGTTTATTGTTATGCTTTTCAGCGGGCAAGGAGTCTTAAAGGATCCTGCAACCTTAGAGAGGTACAGTTAAAGTTTATATAGGATAAAATACAATAAAACATGTGCCAAATATGCTAACTAGGGGATTCAGGATGGGATTAGGGAGTGGTTAAGGAGTGGTCAGTTCTTAAAAGAACAGGCACTTCTTGTGCCTACTGTAAAGGTGTTTTACCCAGAGTTCACTAGGAAAAGCCCACAAGGGGGGCCACATGGAGGTGTGGTTTTAGGCCTGCTACATCACTAAGTCAACTAGAGTTCAGGGTAACTGAGGGTTGTCCAGTCTGCCACCAATCAATGTCTTGTTAGACAAGATAGATGTAGGGAGTATACATATGTCTTAAGTCTAGAATACAGTTAATGAGTAGCCCAGGATGTAGATAATAAGGTAAGGCGGTAGGATAGTATAGTAGTGGGTAAGAATGTCTTTATGACCCAGTGCAAAGCCAGTTTAAACTAATAAATCCTTCAGGTGTTGTTTGGAACTGCACCAGGGAGAGAGATAAAGGTCTTGCTGGGGCCCACTCATGAGTAATTGCTAAGCACAGGGTCCTTGGGCTGGGGAGAAACTGTCAGGGACAGTGTTTCTGAGGCTAGGGAGAAACTGGGGTCCAAGTACAAGCACTCAAACACAAGCACCCTGTCAAAACCACATTCCAAAATCCAGATGCCATGTATTGCTTCCTCAAGGTAAATTTTGCTGCACAATTGAGAATTAAGAATGCAAAGTGACCTTAATGATTTGGTTGGTTATAATCACTAAGGCCTCCTTTGTGTGGCAAGAGTTAAGAATTAGTGTTGAAAGAGGATAGGATTTAGGGATTGCTGAGGAGGCCCAATCTGACTAGGTCTTATCTAAGGGTATAACCACAACTGTTTTCTTAGTGCTAAATATTACTATTCATGTCCATAGCATTATTGCTCCCTTTTTGTTAATTATTACAAAATTGTAATTGAAAGCTGTGTATTTTTATCCTTTTTGTGACTAAGGAAATTCCTCATCTTTTATTTCTCCATTACTATAAATGTGAGTTGAAATTGCTTTAGACAAAGAATCTTTGGCTAGCAGGGTTAACTCTTCTGGCCAATCTCTTTTCATATAATTGCTTGTGAAATAATAAAGGTACCTCTGACAGACCATAGCTAAATGCAGAGTGAAGACTGTTCTCTTCCACAAAGGAATTTGATGAGTCAGGGCCAGGGGTATGCTGGAGCCAGCTCATACTGTCCTATTGTTAAATTTTCAATATGAGAATTTATACCTCAGAAACCAGCAAAGTCTACAAATCAGGGCTGGAATTATTGTTTTGTTGATTGTTTAGATTTTAGACTTAATAAAGTGATAGAGAAAATATCAATAAAGCAGATTAAATTTTTTATTAATTTATTTTGATTTATTAACAATCACTTCCATGAGCTTTTGAGTTTTACATTTTTCTCCCCCTCCCTCCCCAAGACAGCTTGCAATAAGCAGATTAAATTAAAAATATGTCTGGTACACATTCCCCTCCATTCCCACCCCCCAAGCTAGTTGTTAAACATTTACCAGCACAATTCTGGGTGAGACTCATGAGTAGAATATAGTTCTATAAAGTTGTATACCTTATTTAAAAGGAACATAATAGATAAAAGGGCAATAGTGTACTATTATATATTAACTATATGTTGTATCTTCTTATGTTCCTAGGAACCTAAGGCAGAAAGCATAGATGACAAACATAAATGATATTGTTGAAGGATACTACAGATCACCTGGACAGAAAAAAGAAAATGCATAAGAAATTTGGCCAATAGATCACAAACCTGACATGGAAGTATATTGTAGTGACAGGGGTCTGGATGTCAACCTTTGCATTCAAGCTCGACTGCAGAGCTTTCTGCCAAAAGAAGGGCTAATAAATTTGTGACTTGCCTTAATAACATCTTCATCATACAGGATCTGATTTTGACCAATAAGAAACTGAACACAGTATCCCAGAAGGGGCCCACCTGATCAGGACAGAGTAAAGCAGAATTCTTTCATTATGGATATTCATGTAAGGGTGGTAGAGTAGAGTATCTACTCAGTAGATAATCACCATCTCCACTTACAATGAGTGATTAAAATGCTATGGCGAGATACCTTAGCCAGGTGAGAATATATCTCCAATCAAATACTTTAAACTAATTATGAAAAGCTATTGAAGGCCATTGGATGAACAAGAATGACATGGAAGTGTGTCTGCTGAGAAAACCTAGTTATGGTCCTAGGGTGGAGGGGTGGGGTCATATGAAACTAGTTATGGAATAGAAAGACCAGTGGTCCAAAAGATACCTTTCTAGCCTGAAGAGGAACTTCCAAACCTTTCCAATCCTGAGATGGAATTGCTTGGAAGCTGCCTTAGCCTTGGCTTCTTCTCTTACCTTGTTCAGAGGACATTGTGAACTTCAGGCAGATTTGGGACTTTCCATCTTCCCATTGGCATCTGAGCATACTTGATAACTTTATAATTTCAGTGCAAGATGTCACCATCTTCATTCTGGATAAATTAAAATGAACTTTACTTTTGACCCATTAATAAAGACATAATATTGAGTTTCTTCCTTCTCTGCTCTGGCATCCTTTGATCTAGGGTTGATAGGACAAACAATAATGCCATAGGCAAAGCAATTTCTATGGATTAAACTTTCCTCTGCAGAGAGGATATTACGTCTTGGTATTATGCTACAGAGTGATATATACTCTCAACAGAAGGGGTGTAGGTTATGTTCAGGGAAGACTAGTGCCTCTGGTGTGAGGACTGCTGAGACCTTTGCAGAGCTGTTTTCCACCTTTGGTGTCTACCTGTTTTACCCAACTCTCACCTGTGGCTCTAAGAAGCTGTAGCATGTGCAGGCCACACCCCAGTAAACCATTTTGGCAGACAGACCACATTGAGAGTAACTGAAGGGTCTCAAACCCACCAGTGAGTTAGGGGGTTATCTACCCCAACCAGAAGACTTCCCCTGGTGGAATGGGTAGATGAGAACAATCTACTCCAATGGCCATGAAGGCAGCTGAAGCAGGTGCTGTGGAACATTTACAGCTTGGTTAGACATCAAAGATGCCACGGCCATCCACTGTGTCTGGAGCCATCACCAGTCATCTTCACTTTGTCCTGCCACTGGACTGTGATGACTCTGGAAGAGAGAGTGAGGCCAGCTACTTCTTGCAACTCTGCCTCGCTTAAATCCAATCAAACACCATTTTACAATTTTTACCTATCTCAAAGTCCTGTGGTGACAGGCAAGTGATGAAGCAGCAAGTGCAGATACACTGGGAGCTGTAATCACAACCTAACACACAGGTGGCCCAGGCCATAGGGTTGTCTTCTCACTGGAAGTGGCAATGGGATTCAGCAGCTCCTTGGGTGTTCGAGTGGCTTTTTAATGATCCCACTGCTCACCTCCTAGTGTGAGCAAAGAGCTAGAAAAGGTTGCCTAAAAAATTGTTTGCTTACCCAATCCTGGCCTGCTTACCATGTCAGGTGAGGATCCTACCATACGATCGAAACACACAAAAAGTACAAAAACTTTTGCAAAGATGGAATGTGAGCACACTTGCAGATAACTTAAAATCCAGTAGACCTAAAAGATGAACAGCTCTTTTGAGAGAACTCAGCAAATATTGCATCCAAATAGCAGCCCTGAGTAAAACAAGGCTGACAAATGAAGGCCAGCTTAGTGAAGTCGAAGCTAGATACACATTTTTCTGGAGTGGACACAGTGAAGGGGAGTGCCATGAAGCTGGCACAGGTTTTGTGATCAAAACTAATCTGGTCAACAATCTTGTATGCCTGCCAAAAGGAGTGGACAAGCTCATGATAGTGAGATTGTCACTTGAAGGAAAGTGCCATGTCACCATCATCAGTGTGTATGCTCCCACTATGATGAGCCTTGATGAGGTCAAAGAAAAATTTTATGAAGACCTAGAGACCCTTTTCATCAATGGACAAGAGGACAAGCTTATAATTCTGGGTGACTTTAATGCTAGAGTAGGCATGGACTACCAGACATAGCAGGAACATTGAAGCCGGGGAAATTGAGCCATCACAAGATTGGCAATAGTGGAGCAGAAAAGGAGTAGGCGGCTTTCAGAGATTTGGTATACCACACTGCTTTCATTCATCTGGGTGAGAACCCTCATAAATACCAAGATTGGTTTGACAAAAGTGATGGGGAAATTCAGAAGCCATTAAATGAAAAATGAGAGCTCCACAGGGTTTATCAGCAGGATAGTTCACCCATCTCTAAGAAGGCTGCATTTAACTCTATCAAAAGTAAAGTACAAGTGAAGCTTAGAGAGATACAGGATTCTTGGCTCAGTGAGAAGGCAGATGAAATTGTTTTATGCAGATAATAGTGATCCAAAGGGCTTTTATAATGCCCTGAAGGCTATTTATGGGCCAAAGACCTATGGTGTATCTCAGTTACTCAGTGCTGATGGCGCCACATTGATTAGTGATAAGGACATGATCCTGGAGTGATGGGCTGGACATTTCCATAGTGTTCTCAACAGACCATCATCAATCAATGCTGAATCCATTGACTGTAATTTACCCCAGGTTGAAGTCAATTCCTCTTTAGACAAGTTTCCAAATGAAGAAGAGATTTTGAATGCCATTAGGCTCCTTTCCTGTGGCAAAGCATCTGGTGCTGATGTTATTCCAGCTGAAATTTACATGGTGGGGGGTCCACTGCTCATACAAAACCGGACTGAAATTTTCTGGGTTATATGGCAAGAGGAAGTTATCCCCCCAGAGTTGAAGGATACCTCCACTGTCCATCTCTATAAAGGTAAAGGAAATGGATTGTCCTTTGACAATCCTGGGGAGTGGCTCTCTCTTAGTTACTGCTGGCAAGATTCTTGTCAGAGTACTCATCAATAGGCTGATCCTTCACTTGGAAGATGGTCATCTACCTGAGAGTCAGTGTGGCTTCAGAAAGGGCTGAGGAGCAGTCAATATGGTGTTTGCTGCCTGACAACTCCAGGAGAAATGCCAGGAGCAGAAAGAGGTCTATACACATTGTTCATTGATCTCATACTATCATTTGTGAGGGTTTATGGAAAATTATGTCAAAATTTGATTGCCTGGGGGTGTTCATCAATATTGTATGTCAGTTTCATAGTGGCATGCTTGCCTGGGTTCTGGATAATGGATGATGCTTTCCCAATCACCAATAGAGTGAAACAAGGCTGTGTGCTTGCTCCCAGGCTTTCTAGCATGATGTTTTCAGCCATGTTGTCAAATGCCATCAATGAGAAAGAACACTGCATCAAGGTCAGCTATTGAACTAATAGTAAATTATTCAACCTGAAAAGGCTACATACCGAGACCAAAATGGAAAGAGTGTTGGTGAATGATATTTTGTTTACAGATGATTGTGTACTCATTGCAGCCTCTGAAACCGAGATGCAACAAAGTATGGATTGCTTCTCTGCTGCTTGTGCTAATTTTGGCCTAACAATTAATACTAAGAAAACATAGATCCTCCACCAGCCAGCACCACACCATCTATACACAGAACCACTGGTTACAGCAAATGGAAAAGTTTTGAATACTGTGGATAAGTTCACTTACCTTGGCAGTATACTTTCCAAGAATATACATTGATAACGAGGTTGACACATGCAATGCCAGAGGTAGCTCAGTGTTTGGGAGGCTCCGAAGGAAAGTATGGGAGAGATGAGGTAACAGACTGCCTACCAAACTGAAGTTCTACAGAGCTATTGTGCTGACCTCATTGTTGTATGCCTGTGAAACCTGGACAGTATACCAGCACCATGCCAGGAAAATGAATTGTTTCCATTTGAATTGTCTTAGGAAGAATCTGAAGATGACCTGGCAGGATAAAGTACAAGACACTGAGATCCTTTCCTGAACTAAACTGCCAAGCATTCAAACTCTACTGCAGAGAGTGCAACTCCGACGGCCTGGCCGTGTTGTTCAAATGCCAAAGGTACGTTTGTCTAAAAGACTTTTATGGAGAACTCACACAAGGCAAATACTCACATGGTGGTCAGAAAAAGCGATATATGGACACTCTCAAGGTCTCTCTTAAGAACTTTGGAATTGATTGCATGGCATGGGAGACACTGGCACAGGACCACCCAGCATGGCATACCCTCATCAGAGAAGGTGCTGTGTTCTATGAACAAAGCAGAATTGAAGTAGCTCAAAAGAAATTCAAGATGTGCAAATTTAGAGAATCCACTCCTAATGTTCACACGGATTATTTGTGCCCAACCTGCAGTAGAGCATTCTAAGCTCGTATTAGTCTGGTCAGCCACAGTTTGACACACTATAACTTGACTCTAGCACAGTGATGTCATTTTGGTCCTCTTCAAGAACAAAGGACAACAACCAACTCCCAACAGAAGAGGTATGTGGCTGTTGCATGTCTAAGCTCTTCTAAGCACAGAGCATACTCTTGGAAACAGATTACTCTTCCACGTGCCTCCAGGCAGGAGAGTTTGCATAGCTTCATTCCTTCTGTGTCTGCTGCCTCTGATCATAGGTATAGATCTGCACTTCTAATGTTCTCCACCAGATGCAGCAAGGGTACAATTGCCTGGAGCTTGTCATTTGAAGGAACATTATCGTTTCCAGGAAAATCATGTATACTTAGGGAAACAATTCCTGTGACCCTCTCAGTAAGGTGACAGAGAAACCAGCAAGGTAAAACATGGCAATATGCAGCTGTGTAGCAGGCAGGGGATTCGATTATCTTTTGTTCTGTCAGAATGCTGACCTGTCTATGAACCCACACCACACCACTGACCAGTTTGGCTGCCTACCACCAAGCTGTTCTGCAAGTGTCTGATGCTTTCCAAAGAAATAGATTTCAATCTTCTAGCCCCTCATTTTAACTTCATGTGAATCTTTGTGTTTCAAATGTGTTTCTTGTAAGCAATGTATTAACAGATTCTGTTTTCTAATCTATTCTTTGACCTTTCTTCATCTTATGAGTAAATTCACGGTTATGATTGTTAACATTTTTTTTCCATCCTGTCCTCTTTTTTCTTCTATCTTATTCTCACAAAGAAGGTGATAAATGGGAGTTTGCCTGATATTTGTGATCTATAAGTGAAAGTGTCTGTTTCAGCTCTGTTCTGGACCTTTTCTTCCCCTTGTCCCATCCCTGACCCCCAAGTTTTTACTCTTAATTTTTTTTAATCCTTCCTCCTTTCTTCCCCAATATAGTCTCCTGTCCTTTCCACTTCTGTATTCTCTTCAGACCATCAAAACAGAACAAAGCTACTCCCAGGCCTTCCCTCTGTCATACAGGGCATCCCAAAAGTTTTAGTGTAGTTTTAAACTACAAAAGTTATTTACCTCTTTGATCCTTAAAAATATTAGAGTTCTAAAGCATTTGTTTCACCCCCCCATGAGCATGTAAACAATTCAACCCCACATGTTCCTTTCAGATTGATTAAATGTGTCTATCTTTCTATGTTTTTCTTGACTCCTACTTTTCCATTTAAAAATACTGAGTTTTCATCCCCACTTCAGCTGAGAAAATCTTGTAGAGATGGGGAAAGTTAAGACATACAGGAATTCAATAGAGGGTGTATACCTATGTTACTAACTTCATATGAAACCAAGCTCTTCTGAGATGGGCCATCTTCTTCTTCTCCTTTCCCCTAAAGAATGTCCTGACTCATTTTTAGCTTCTCAAGAAACCTTAGGGGTGAGGGATGGAGGTCAGAGAGACTAGCACAGAGCCCTAGCCATACTAATGGGACAAAAAGCAGGTTATCAAGGCTGGGAATGTGTTATGCGATTTCTTTTGTTAGGCATAGACTTAGTTCTGCAAAAGCTGATATAGAGGGTAGAGCACAAGGCAGGGCAACAGTTGGTTACACTTTGAGGGTACAATTATATTTCCTAGCCAAGATCCAATACACCTGAGCCTTCAGCTTAGCACTCCAGCTATATTCTTTTCCAGCTAATTCCCAGTTCCACAGCTTTACTTGGCCGTACAAGAAGTAGTTAAATCAAGTCAACTAACATTTATTAAGTGCCTTTTATGCCAGGAGTGGGGAACCTGTGGCCTCGAGGCCACATGTGGCCTCTAGGTCCTCAAGTGCTGCTCTTTGACTGAATCCAAACTTCACAGAATAAATCCCCTTAATAAAAAGATTTGTTCTGTAAAATTTGGACTCAGTCAAAAGGCCACACCCTGGCACCCAGGCCCTGTCCGAAGCACTGAATTACATAGGAAGGCAAAAAACAATCCCTACTCTCAAGAATCCCATAGTCTAATGAGGGAAACAATTAGAAAACAACTGTATACAACAAGCTACATATAGGATAAATTGAGTGTGGTCTAAGAGGGAAGGCATTAAGATTTCACTAAAGACTGGGAAAGGCTTCTTGTAGAAAGTGGGATTTTAGCTAGGACTTGAAGGAAGTCAAGCAAGCCAGGAGGCAGAGATAAGGAGGGAGCATGGGGGTTGGGGGTTGGGGGTTAGGGGATAGGGGACAGCCAGTCAAAAAGCACAGTTGAGAGATGGAGTGATTGGAGATAAATGTCTCTAGATTACAGAGTAAATGGGAAGTTGTAAAGTGGGAGAAGACTGAAAAGGAATGTGAAAAGTATCAGGTTATGAAAGTCTTTGAATGCCAGAGAATTTTATCTTTGATCCTTAAGGTAAGGGAGCCACTGAAGCTTACTGAATAGGGAGATGACATGATCAGATCTATCCTTTAGCAAGATTAATTTGATTGGTGTAGGTGTAAGATAGACTGATTTTGAGACAGTCAAAGGAGAGAGAACAATCAAAAGACTATAGGAGTGTACCAAGGTGGCGGCAGGATCAGAGGAGAGCAGGGGAAGTTTTAAGAGATAAAATAAACAGGACTTGTTTACCGATTGGATATGAGGTGTTGTTGAAAGTAAGGAGTTAAGGATGAGATTTACATTGTGAGTCTAGGTCACTGCATGGTCATGCTTTAGAAAATTTGAAAGGGAAGAGGTTTTTTTTTTGGGGGGGTAGATGACGAATTCAGTTTTGGATATGCTGAGTTTAAGATGTAAGGGAATACACAGTTCGAAATGTCTAATAGGCAGTTGAATTCGGGGCTAGGTAAGTGGACTGAAGAATCATCAGCACAAAAATTGAATCCACGAGAACTGATAAAATCACCAAATGAAATAGCACAGAGGAAGAAATGAAGGTCTAGGACAGAGTTGGGAGATGGAACGTCCTGTGCAAGGAACAGCAAGAAAGTCACTATCACTGGATCACAAACTAAATGGAAGGGAGTAAGGTATTAGAAGACTGGAAAGGTAGGAGGGGCCCGGTTATGAAGAGCTTTATAAGCCAAACAGAAGATTTTATATTTGATCCCGGAAGAAAGAGGAAGCCGCTGGAGTTTTTAAGTATGGAGGCAGTGTGTGTGACACTGTCAGATCTTCTCTTTAGGAAAATCACTTTAGTGGCTGAAAGGAGGAGGATGGATTGGTGGGAAAGGTTCTAGGCAGGCCGACCTCACAGCAGGCTATTGCAATAATCCAGGTAGGAGATGGTGAGGGCCTGTGGCAGCGTCAGAGGGGAGAAGGGGGTGTACAGGACATGCTGCAAAACCCGGGCAGCCTCGGCTACAGCGGGGACATGGGGGGAGGAGGGGATGAGTCGGGATCATTGCCAGGCTGGGAGTCTGAGGGACTGGGAGGATGGTGCTGCCCTGGACAGTAATAGGGAAGGGAGGCGGGGGAGGGTTTATGGAGAACGGATAACAACGTCGATCCAGAACCGGCTCAGGATGAGCGGCACAAAAGGACCAGCCCGCCCCGTCCGTGGCTGCTGAGGTAGGGACTGGGGGCCGGGCTGGGGAAGCTGCTTATGGGAGTCCTGAGCCCGTCCCTCAGGCCGGAGGGGACGGCTCTGCCCATCTTCTGGGTCGGCGGCGGCCCCAGGCCGCCGCCTCCTCCCAGCCCCGCGGCGTGCCGGAGCACGGAGGAAGGCACTTCCGGGTTTCCTAGAGCGGTCGAGAAGCGATACCCGGAAGGGAATGGGGAGAGAGCTTCCGGCCATTGTTCTGTCCTTCTGGCGTGCGTGGCTGGAGTTCGAAAGGTCCTCCCTGTTTCCCGGTCCTCTTGTCTCTGGTCCCCGCCGCCCACGGCTGGGTTATCACCTCTTCTCCCTGGACTGCCCCGGGCTCCCGGTGAGTGGGCCGGGGACTGAGTGCAGGGGGGCTCCAAGGCCTGTGGGGGTGCGGGACGGGGGGAAGACTCTCCTTCTTTACGGCCCCACGGGGTCTCTCAAACCGGCGCCGGGGGTGCTCCTCCGTCCGTTCCCTATCTCTCGTTCCCTCTGTTTCTTCCCCTCCCCCTCAGTGTCCCGATACCTCTCCCCCTTCCATGTTTTCTTCTCCTCCCCTTTCCTTTCCCGTTCTCCTGTTTCTCCTTTCCCGTCTTCTCTCCCGTTTCTCTCTCCTCTTCCCTCACCTTCCCGTTTCTCTATCCCGCTCCCCCCCTTTTCCCCACTCTCCTCCCTTTCCTTGTTTCTCTTCTCCTGCCTTCCTCTGTTTCTCTCCTCCGATCCCCTGTTTCCTCCTCTTTTTCTCGGTTCCCTTTCCCCCTCCCCCACCCTTGGTGCACGCTGCCTTCCTTCTCCCCCGTCCTGTGCAGCGAGGGGCTATGGGAGAAGGGTCACGATGCTTTGCGCGGTGAACCTTCACAATGACTTCTTGGGGCCTCTTTTCAGATGTCTATCAGAGACAAAACAAAAACAACCACCTGGGGCATTTAGCAGCTCAAAGAGGGTTGCAACCTCTTGGCAGCTCCCAGTACTGGTAGCAATAGTAACAGTCATTTTAAGATTTACAAAGCATTTTCTTCACAAAGACCCTGCGGGGGGAGGTAAGTTAAGCAGGTATTACTGGAAGAATAATGGAGATTATTGATAATAATGGAGAAACTGAGGTTTGAGAGGTTCGTTGACTTGACCAAGGTCACAGCCAGTAAGTAAATTACAGAGCCAGGGTTTTAGCACAGGACTCCTGACTTCTTTCCACTTTCACACAATAATGATAACTTAGGAAAATATTTCATTTTACCTTAAACTACTTGGGACCACAGGATGTAACCATGATAATAACAATAATAATTCTAGAAGGGACCTTTGAGATTGTCTAGTCCAGCCTCATTTAATAAATGGAGAAACTGGAGGGGGAGGTTATAAAGCAGTCAAAACAGGTCTCTTTATTTTTTATTTTTATTTTTTAAATTTTATTAATTTATTTTGATTATCAACAATCACTTCCATATCTGTTATTGTGTACAAAGTTCTCTTGGTTCTGTTCACTTCACTCAGCATCATACCATACAAGTCTTTCCAGGTTTTTCTGAAGTCAGCCTGTTCTTCATTTCTTATAGCACAGCAGTATTCCATTACATTCATATACCACAACTTGCTCAGCCATTCCCCAATTGATGGGCATCCTCTCAATTTCCAATTTTTTGCCACCACAGAAAGAGCTGCTGTGAATATTTTTGTTACATGTGGGTCCTTTTCCCATTTGTATGATCTCTTTGGGATATAGCCCTAGAAGTGCTATTGCTGGATCAAAGGGTATGCACAGTTTTATAGCCCTTTGGGCATAGTTCCAAATTGTTCTCCAAAATGGTTGCATCATTTCACAACTCCACCAACAATGCATTAGTGTTCCAGTTTTCCCACATCTTCTCCAATATTTATCATTTTCCTGTTTTGTCATGTTGGCCAATCTGATAGCTGTGATGTGGTACCTCAGAAAAACAGGTCTCTTTAAACTATTGGATGAAAAACCTGAATGCACCTTTATATAGAAACACAGGAAGATGATTCTTGAATTTGCCATTTCATCACTCCCTTGTTTGGAATCTTAACCTTCCTTCAAAGCTTTTAAACTACATCCTCCATGAAGCTTATTTTTTTCTTCCTATAAAATGATTAAATAAAATGAAATAATATTTGTGAAGTACTTAGCACAGTTCTTCAAACATTGTAGTTGCCATATAAATGCTTACTCCCTTCCCTTCACCTTCCTGTCTTGTTTTAATTTAACTGGGTATAATGTTTTATTTCTTCTTCCCCAAGGAATGTAAACTCCTTGAGGGCACGGGCTGTTGTATGGTTTTGTTTTGAAATGTCCACTTTACCTGTTACAGCCTCGAATAGAATAGGTGATTAATAAATGATGAATTGAATTTTTTTGTAATAAAGATGGACACATACTCACCTGTAGTAGTCTTTGTACCATAATTTTCTCAACACCACACAAAAATGAATCCCTAATTTCAGTTAAGACACTTATTGAACACCTGCAAAGCCTGACTTAAGACACAGGTGTAGCTGATGCCTAATTACTCTTTTTTTAAATTTAAATTTTATTTTTTAAAAATTTTATTACTTTATTTTGATTTGTCAACAATCACTTCCATATGCTTTTGAGTTGAAAATTTTTCTCCCCCTTCCTTCCCCCCACCCTCCCCAAGACATCACACAATCTGATATAGGTTTTATATTTACATTCCTATTAAACATTTTCACATTAGTGAAGCTGTAAGTAGAAATTAAAACCAATAGGAGGAACCATCAGAAAGATGAAACAAAACTCAACAGAAGGTAAAAATAAGTGATAGTGATTCTACTTCCATAGTTCTTTCTTTGGATGTGGACAGCATTTTCCATCCCGAGGCCTCTGGAGATGTCTTAGATCCTTATAATGCTGAGAAGGGTTCAGTTTAACAATATTAGTTATCGCATAATGTGGCTGTTATTGTGTACAAAGTCCTCTTGGTTCTGCTCACGTCACTCAGCATCAGACCATATAAGTCTTTCTGAAGTCAGCCTGTTCATCATTTCTTATAGCACAATAGTATCCCATTGCATTCATATACCACCACTTGCTCAGCCATTTCCCAGTTGATGGGCATCCTCTCAATTTCCAATTCTTTGTCTAATTACTCTTAGTTTAAAATATATCCATTTTCCCAAAACAACCAAAATTAGTTCATGTCTATTAGATTACTATAAATGATTCACTGATTAAAAAGGAAATTTACATGACCTTTAATTCATTTTGTTCTCACACAGCATATGCACCAAATAGAATGAACTTTTCTCAGGTCAAAAGACTGGGTTTTGAATTTAGGATGGCTGATGCTTTGGCCCCCTAGCATCTGTCCAGAGGAGGGGTGCCTTTGTGTACCGCTCTTTCTACCTGGCTATAATTCTCCCTGTTTTTGAGAAATGGGATTGGTGGGTGCATTGGGGAGATTCTCTGATCCTCCTTGAGGATTCTTTGAGATAGAGCAAGGTCCCCTGCTGTTGGAATGCAATGCAGACTTTTGCTTTCTTTAAGAAGTGTTGATTGTGCCAGGTTCTGGGGACTCATTCTGAAGAATGTCTTTTAACCTCCACCTTTGTTTTTCCTGTAATGAGGAATGCATCAGAGCCTTAGTCTTCTAAGTTTCTCATTTCCTTTCATCACTGACCCTCCTCATGAATGGATTTGGCATCTTTTGTGCTGAAGTAGCTTTAGAAATAGTAGAAATGAGTAGTGAGAAGTAGGTGGCTGCAGGCTAAGAATGAGAGGTGTTGGCCCCAGACTGGAAAGAAAGATGAGAAGTTTGGTCACTTTAGTTCTATTCTGGACCTGACTGGAGCTTAGAGTTCATCAGTTTTATTATGGTGGGAAGAGCAGCTTAGCATGTTGTTGTCACTGGTATTTGAGAAGTAGAATAACATGATGAGTAGAGTGCTGAACTTAAGTCAGGAAAATAAAGACATGAAGTCTGCCTGAGATTTTCTTGCTGTGTGGTCTTGGGCCTCTTAGAACCCTAGTTTCCTTATCCGTAAAATGGCTATAATAATACTTACACTGCTTCCTTCAAGAGATTGTGAGATCTTTGTACTTTGCAGACCTTAGAGAACTTTGTAAACTTGAGCTGTTATTTCTAGCTACCTGTCTGAATTAGGATGTTTTAAGAATCTCTGTAAAAATGGACACCAAACCATCTCCTGATTATTTTTCCTCCTTTTGATGCTGGGTTAGGGCGAATAGGCTATAATGTTGAGGCAAAAAATTGTTTCTGCATTAAAAGGAAGGGGACAGAAACCAGTTTTCATTGTTTTTGGTATTCTTCACTGAGATGGCTACCAAGTCTGCTTTGGGTCCCAGTCACAATTAAGTCTTAACTTCTCTGCTAGGTATTAAGGTTATTAATTAAGAAAAGTCTCTTGTGGACATAAGGGCAAAAGGCATTCAAGCGAAATTGTGGCATAAAAACATCAAGAGATAATTATCCCGCTCCTTTAGTGTTTCACTACTGTTCAGATCTGGAGCTGGAGCTTTCCCCTGGAGACTGAAGCTTTATTCTGACAATGCTTCTAGTAGCAACTAGGAAAGAAAGTGATAGGGATAAAGCTAGAACGATATAGAGGCACGTCTTTTCTGATACGATAATTCTGAATAATCTCCCCCAATACAGCTGTCCCCAATACAATTGATTAGCATTAGCTAGTACTCTGACCCGCAGAAATTTACAGTGGAGGAACAAGGTGGGTTAAAGGAAGACTGTTCCCCAAATAACCAAAAGCTCTCAGAAAACTTTTTGCTTCAAAAAAAAAAGGTAAAAGCTGCTGCCCACGTTATCCGATCTTGTCATGTACTTTGTGATTATGGAGAGCTTATTAAAAAAGGGTTTGAACCTAGAGTCGAACTTAAAGGAAGGTTCACTAGCCCTCGGACCAGGCGTGATAGTTAATGGAGTGAAAAAAACAGGAACTCATCAAGTTTAATTCCGAATCTAGAAGAGTTAGAATTCTTGTGTAACCTAGAAGAGTGGTGTTATTTTTAAAGTTATAACCTGAAATAACTTCATGAGAAAAAAACACAAAACCTGATGAATTTAAACAATTGACATCACTCTTTGTTCACATCTAATATATATTAAATGTGTACTCTTTTTTTACTTAATTTCGTATAAATATATTTTTTTAACTTAATTCCACATAAACATTTTCATATATAGACAGAGGCACTTATTTTTAATAGCTAGTAGTACAGTATTTATCTTTGTGCATTGGGTTGTTTATGATTTTTTATTCATAAATAATATTTTAATTGGGAGTGGTTTGAGACACAGTCCTCTTGGGACTTGGAAATGAAAAGGAATTAAATTAGTATTGATTACTTTGATTTATTTTTAGTTTGATTATAGGATTAAACTCCTTTCTTTAGGAAAAGCTAGCTCTAACAGCTAAGCCAGACTAAACATAGTTGCTTAAGTCTCAATTATCTATAGATTTAGTGAATAGATAAATTGAGAAGACTAACATTTAGGAGCAGATAATTTAGAATAAGACATAATAAAATAATCATAGGATTATTCTTTTTGAAGGCTGTTTCCTTTTCTAGCAGAAATTAGGGTTGACCAGAGGCTAAGTTCCCCTTTATTGCAGCTGGAGAAAGGTTAGCCAGAGGTGAAGTTCCTTTTTCCAGTCTCAATGGAAAAGCTCCTTTTTTTCTTGAGCTAGTATATGAGTTGAGTAATGGAATCTTCTAAGGAAGATGGCGTGGGGTGGGGTGGGGTGAATGCCTGCTAACTACTGACCACAGGTTTCTCTTTCCCAGTACACCTTCTGGTTATAAAAGGCACCACCACATGTAAGAAGAGGACTTCTGGATAGGATTAAGAACACTTGGAAGAAGCTAACTAGTCAGGTGACCTGCCTTGTCTAGTTGAATTATGTTCAAAATAAGATTCTGTCATTTTTTTATTCCTTTTTTCTGTTATAAAAGTCAGCTTAGTAAATAAATCATTCAGGGTCTCTGACCTCTGAGGAATCAGGTGACCTGATTTGATATGCAAATGCTAGCTTTGCATATTAAATCATAGATGGTTTGGTAACTTTGTCCTCAGTTTCCTTTATATTTCAGAAAATCAATTTTAACAGAAAACACTAGTCTAGTCACAGGTGCTCCTTTCCAGCATTGAATCAGAAGACTCACACAATCTCAGAATTAGAAGAAACTCAAGATACAATTTAGCCTAGTTCAGGAATACCCACTAGTGAAAAGTGGTCATCCACCTTTTCTTGAAGACCTCCAGTCAGCCCTCTTGAAGCAACCTGTCCTGCTTTTGAATAGCTCTAATTGTTAGGAAGTTTTACCATTTATCAGATCTAAATTCCTCATCTGCAGTGTCTCCCCATTGCTCCTAGTTCTGACCTCTGGGCTGAAACAGAATGAGTCTGATCTCTCTTCCTTGTGACAGCCTTCAGATATTTGAAGACAGCTGTATGTCTGTCCCTCTTTAAATTTTCTCCAGGCTAAACATTCACATTCACACGTGACGTGATTTTTAAGTCCTTCCCAATCTTTCCTGCCCTCCTGTGGATGTACTACAGTTCATCAGTGTCTTAAGATTGTGACATCCAAAACTGAACATGATACTCCACTAGTAGACCTGGCTGACTTTGATTCTTTGCTCTGTAACTTGCTTATTGTGTAACCTTAGTCAATCACTTATCTCTCTGAGCCTAAGTTTTCTTTTTTGCAAAATGAGTAATACGTACCCGGTAAAATTGTGCTGAAATGAGATGAATATAACTGTATTTGTAAGGTATTACATAAACATAAAGAATTCTGGAGGTATTTCCTGTGGTTGTCTTTTCTTAAACTTTTTTTCCCATTGTGTTTTCCCAGTGTCATTAGAGACACATTCCTTGTGTATTGTACTCTGATAGAAGACAAGAGTTCCAGAGCATCCCATGGAAACACAAGCTGATTGTGTGTCTCAGGAACCTCAGCTCCTGCTTGAGAGTGGTGAGGAGCGTAGATTCCTATGAGAGACAGAAAACTTTCTCCATTGTGGTGAGATAGAAAACAGTGGTAATGCAGAATGAAGGGGTCCTCCAAGAATGGGCATTGAGAATGTCTCAGCAGCAAGTATTATTTTGATGTAGAATTAATTAGGATTCTCTACTGAGGACATTCTTCCTATGGGATCCTGGTCTTTTTTGTCTGGATTGGTTAAATTATTGGGTTGGAATGACAGGAGAATCATTAGCACTGCTAAATCCTGTTCCTTATACAGTCTTGCTGACTCCATTTCAACAGAAGCCTGTGCTTTTAAAGAGCTGGAATTCTGAAAAATGTTGCTTGGGATTATTCCTTAGTTTACCCGAAAGAGTAGGAAATAGTTGGTTGCCGCAAGTATGTTGACTCTTGCCTACTATATGGAGTTTTCATTTTGAGTTGGTGTGGCATCATTTCACCCGTAGTGGGTGGTGTTTCTTGGGTTTTCTCACTCATCATTAGGAAGCAGTGTACAAAGTCATAGCCCCTGTGTATAAGTTTATAGTCTAACTCATTGGCACACATATGCATGTAGAAATTATCAAATAAAAACAGTGAAATAGGAAATATTTGCATTGCATTATGTATTTTTTGAGGGAAGAAAGTTTATATACTCAGCCAGGGCTGGACTAGTTGAAGCTGTTAGGTTTTCTTTTAAGACTGATGAGGAGTGAAAGAGAGACAGGTGAGTGGGATGATCAGAGTATTTGGCAGAGCTTGAGAAAGGACAGAAATAGGATAAGACAACTCTAAGGGAGCACTGAAGTAGTTTCCCTAAGAGAGGATGGGCTGGGGAGAGAATAGAAGAGGAGAAGTGAGATGGTCCAGATGGCCTGATGAAAAGTTAGTATCCAAGGACTTTCTCTTTAGACTTTGTACCTCATCTCTAATAATGTAGGAAACAGTCACTGTAAGGACCTAAATCAAAGCAGAATTTCCTTATCTCTTGAGATGTAAGAAAAATGATTGCTTTACTCCCTGTGTTGAAGAAGCAGTATAAAAGGCTAACAGAAGTAGGATGAGCATCTCAGTCTTTGTCCTGTGTTGTTTGTTTGGCAGTAGGACATGTAGTTTAAGGAGCACTAATGATAGTATTGAGTGGAAATGAATTGATGAGGACAGTTGAGGGGTGGAATATGTGCAGAGTCACATTTGTACATTGATAGAGAGATGTATTTTAGAAATTAGAGTTAAGTTTTTTTAAGGACAAATACTCAGAGCTGTAGCTCTATAAATACTTCATGTAGTTGATAAAAGCTAGTTGAGGATTTAAAATTAACTACAAGTCAGGCATGTAGGAAAAGAATCTTCCTGGGTTCTAGTGAATTTCTTTTATTTAGGTTGGGGGAGTGGCAGGGCAAAGTAGACTTATTTATTACTTCTTTTTTTTCCCCCCTCAGCTCCACCTTCTCCCAAAGTTTCTGCTTCTCATGATAAGGGTAACCTGGGAAACCAGATGCTGGCAGCTGCACTTCTAAAAGCCAAGTCCCAGGTGAGCTGTGGTTTCACTTGTCCCACTCTTACCTAAAGGTGACTTCATCTCTTTACTTTTTTTCTTTTCTTTTTTTTTTTTTGCCTTTTGGTGAGGCAATCGTAGTTAAGTGACTTGCCCAGGGTCACACAGCTAGTAAGTGTCATGTGTCTGAGGCCAGATTTGAACTCAGATCGTCCTGATTATAAGGCCAGAGCTCTATCCACTGTGCCACCTAGCTGCCCCTATCTCTTTACTTCTTACTGAATATTTTCTACCAAGTAACATCCTGTGTTGGGTCCTGATCCTCATTTCTGTTCCCAGGTATGCAGTCCTTTCTTGTTGGGTGAGGGAACTCTGTATTTGCTGTTTCCTGATTCACTTCTGGTTTTACTTCACTAATACTCACTTTACATCATCACTTTATCTAGAACTCTTTACCTACCTTCACTTCCTAATGCTTACAGCTCTATCTCATGGTTTTAGAATTACACATGTTTTTACAGGAATTGGTGACATTTGAGGATGTAGCTGTGTACTTCATTCGGAAGGAATGGAAACGTCTGGACCCTGCTCAGAGGGACCTCTACAGGGATGTGATGTTGGAGAATTACGGGAATGTGTTTTCACTGGGTATGAAATGTCTCCCTTAAAAAAAAATAGCTGTCCTATCAATGGAAACATTAAGCAAAGGATTCTTGGGTTCTCCCAGGAAAGTTAAATATTGAAGTCCTTTAAAAAGGAGAAGGATTAACCCTTTCCATGTGAAAATGCAGTGACTGTGCCTGTCTGCTATGTACATGAGAACATTATTGGGCTTTAGCTAGTTTCTTACATTCCTCATATGTCAGGTTGCCTGTAGTAGACCTCTAGGTCACCTTGTCCTGTCTCTAATATAATTGTCTCTACTTAAACGTTTCTTAATGAAGAGAGGGAACATAAACTTACCCTTGTAGAAACAGATTATAAACTTGACCCTATCTCAGCTTGCTCTTGAGAGCATATTTCTTTTAGTTCATTCAGTATATTTTTTCTCCATCTGCCCTCTGTAGATAATGGAAATAAGATTTGAGTCCTGGAGCAGCCCAGTTTGAGCATCACAAACTTTTCTGTCAAATTTCTTTTTTTATGGGTAGGCTTTCCATTCCCAAATCCTGAGATAATCTCTCACCTGGATGGAGAAGAAGAGCCATGGGTCCTGGATTTGAAGGGAGCTGAAAGCCAGGGACTCCAAAGTGCCTCTTGTATAGGTAAGTAAGGGACACACAGTCACCCACAGCTTTAATCTTTAAATGATTTACAGACTTAAAATACTATTTATTTAGCTCATTCATAGTTGTCTCCTTTGCCTTGAACTTTGTGTAAAAAATCTCATGGTAACCAAAAAAATAAATAAATACAGAATGTAAGCACTGAGGTTCCTACCTGACCGGGTTAATGTGCCCATATAAGCATGGGTCCTAAGATACACCAGAAATGGACATAACTCTCTTTTTGCCACCCTTTTGTTTTGTATGTATGAGGTAACTAACTGCAAGCAAGCCAGGGACAGGGTTCTGCAGGAAGCAGGAGAGCCTCATCTTTTTTGATACAGTTTCCCCACTTCTACTTATCACCCTCTTTACCTCCAGGACCCTGTGACAGCTTTTCCTTACTACTTAAATTGCTTTTCTAATTACAACCTCCCATAATCATTTCTCCATCTTTTTGATTCTTCTACTAGCTAATTCCTACATTTTACTTGATAGGTTCTTCTTCATCATTTATTTTTTTCCAGCTTGCCTATTTGTCCCTTGGCTTCTCTGCCTAATAGTTTGACTACTACTATAGCCCATTGCCCGTTCAGTTCCATCTTCTTGCTTGGCTTTGTGTGCTAATATGAATACTTCTGGGCATTGGTGACCTTTACCAACCTTGTTTTCCCAAACCCTGAATATCTATAAGCTCTATTTTGCCCTATCTCCCTACCTTTTCTGTGGAGTCTTTTGGCAGAGCATAAAAGCCATATGTTCTCAGTCCTAGGTATGTTAATGATACCTGATTTTTTTTCCTTTTCTTTTTTAGTTTCCATTCTTTTCACTAAAGAGAATGTTTTCTGTTTATTGTGTCAGATGGTGAGACCAGAACTAGGAATGATCAAGAAATTTCTGAAGCTGCAGAATCACATGGGGTGATACTGGGAAGATTCCAAAAAGATGTTCCTTCAAGTCTCAAATTTGGAGAAGCCTGTGAATGGGAAGGCAATTTAGAGAGGCAACTGGGAAACTCCATGGGGGAAAGACTGAGGAGAAAGATGGGAGATCTTAGACAAGTAATAGTTGAGGATCAGAAAAGCTCCACAGGTGAGAGAGTCCAGCAGTACAAAGAATTTGGGAATAGTTTTAGTCTTAATTCAAACCTTGTTATCCATCAAAAAGGTTCTGTGGGAGATAAACCCCATAAGTGTGATGAATGTGGCAAAAGCTTTAATCGAACTTCAGACCTCATTCAGCATCAAAGAATCCACACAGGAGAGAAGCCCTATGAATGTAATGAGTGTGGGAAAGCCTTCAGTCAGAGCTCACACCTCATTCAGCACCAGAGAATTCACACTGGAGAGAAACCTTATGAATGTAATGACTGTGGGAAAACCTTCAGTTGTAGCTCTGCTCTTATTCTACATAGGAGAATCCATACTGGAGAGAAGCCCTATGAATGTAATGAGTGTGGGAAAACTTTTAGTTGGAGTTCAACCCTTACTCATCATCAGAGAATACATACTGGGGAAAAACCTTATGAATGTAATGAATGTGGGAAAGCATTCAGTCGGAGCTCAACCCTTATTCATCATCAAAGAATTCATACTGGAGAGAAGCCCTATGAATGTAATGAATGTGGAAAAGCCTTCAGCCAGAGTTCACATCTTTATCAACATCAGAGAATCCACACAGGAGAGAAACCCTATGAATGTAGGGAATGTGGTGGAAGATTCACCTATAGCTCAGGTCTTATTCAGCATCAGAGAATTCATACAGGGGAGAATCCCTATGAATGTAGTGAGTGTGGGAAAGCCTTCAGGTATAGCTCAGCTCTCGTTCGTCATCAGAGAATCCACACTGGAGAGAAATCTTTGAATGTGATGACTATGGGCAAAGGTTCCATCAGAGTTGCTGCATTAAATATCAGAGAATCCATCCACATGAGAGAGTGAGAGTCTGCTGCCCTGGTAAATACGTTAAATGCAAGAAAATGTTTGGTTAGAGCTTGTTCTTAGAGTTCTGACAGACTCCATCCTGAGGAATATTCTATGAACATGAAACATGTGGAAAGTTTCCTCTTAATTGGAATTCTGCCACCATAAAATGAAGTGTATTGGGCAAGATACCCCTACCTCTGTCCCATCAAGGCCAATGAAGAGGGGCCAGCAATCTAGGTAGCTTTCCCCAGGATTGGTTTCAGTTAGGAAAGTAAAACTCCCCAAAGAATAGTTGATTGAATGCTAAACATAAAAAGGGGCTCTGGTCCTGATATTTCTTGGAAAGGAGTTTACCATTCACCATTATATATGTAACTATACACAAGAGGAACTGTTTTGGAAGAAAGAAAGAGATTTCATGACCTCATTTTCGGCAAGTAGATTGTAGAGGTGAGGATATTGATATTGTTAGGGAGGGAAAATGTAGGCTGTGTCTCAAAACCTAGTTTTTGTAATATTTACTAAAGGGATTTCCCACCATACCACTAAAGGAAATGGGGGAGGGTAATATGGGTTCTGAGGAATATGGTTATCATCATTCAGAGGGGGAAAGGTTTGGGTCTCATTTCTCCTTTTGGGGAGTGTGGTAGCAGTTCTTTTCTCTTGAGCCAGGATGGCTTTCCAAGCTTCCTGGATTGTTTTCACAATCCTCATTTCCTCCCAGTACAAATGAAATGTTTCACTTTTTCAGTCTCTTGAAACAAATGTTTCAGTGTGATTGAATGAATATGAATACATTTTTGTGAGGGTTCAAGGATTTCTTCCCTTTCTGCCCATCCCCTGAATAAACAGGAAATATTAGCTAACTGTGGCTGTGGATTTGACCTTTTAAAAAATTACCCAGTTTGGCCATACTCATTGTCCCTTGTTTCTCCATTCCATTTCAGAGTCTCAGCACTTGTCATCTGTTTTTTGTGTGTGCACAGAGCATTGTGCATGCACTGGGGAAGATGATCAAGGTTAACTGAGAGCCCTAGCCCTGGAACTTAGCCTTGTAGGAGAAAAAAACCACATAAATATAAACTGTGAGGAAGTTGCCAGATTGCTGATATATTGCACTTGGATGTTTGCAAAGTGCTTAATGTGCTCTCAGCTTCATAACCCTCTGAGGTAAATTATTCTCATGTAACAGGAAGAAATAGGTTGAGAGAGATTTAAGTGTTTTTTCCTGTGGTCACAGAGCTAGGATGAAAGGGAAAAATTCAAGTTGATCTGCTGTGCCTTGTGTTGAGAGGATCTGGAGGATCCATAAGAGAGGAAATGAGGATCAGGGAAGTCATCAAGGAAAAGTGGCATTTGAGTTGGGCTTGAAAGTCTGCATAGAATTACAATAGGGAAAAAAAAGGCAGTGGATAGTAGGCATAGGAAACATTAGTAAAGGCACAAGTGGGAGGCAGAGAAGGCTGGAAAAATAAGATATTGCCAGATTGTGGAGGGTCTTAAATGCCAGGCAAACAAGCCTGACCCTTATTTGGCATTAGAGAGCCACTAAAGATTTGATATGGCCAGGTCTATGCACAAGAAATTATTTTATCAGAATTATGAATGGTGGGTTAAGGTAGGAAATAGTCTAGGTGGGTGATGGTGAGGGCCTGTGAAGATGGCCTTGAACATAGGGAATGGATTTGAGAGTTGTTTCAGAGATAGGATTAGTAAGATTTCATTAACTGATTAATTAGATATGAAAGGTAAGGGAAAGAAGGAAAAAAAATAAGATTCTGAACATTAGAGGCTGCATGAGTACGGGTGCCACAGGTAGAAATAATGAAGCTAGAAGAGGAACAGGCTTAGGGGGAAAGAATAATATGCTTAGTTTTCACCATGCTGAGTTTGAGGTACTAGTAAGTAACCTTTGTGTGCCTTTAAGATGTGCATCTAAAACTTGTAGATCAGAATTAGAAATAGAGATTTGGGGGTAACCTGCATAGAGGTAAGAATAAGATTATAGGAAAGGGGGCCGTGGACAGGCACTTAAAACACCCACATAAAGGGTCAGAAAGGAGATAGGAGAATCAGATGAGGACTGAACAAAGGCCATTGGTTTTGTGATAAGCAGGTCTTTGGTAATCATTGGGATCTCAGTGTCAGGAAAGTGTTGCTTTTGGAAAACAAATATATTTTGAGTAAAATGGAATGTTAAGTGGATGAAAGTAGAAGATGTAGGAAGGCTTTTTTTAAAAAATTTTAGGATGAGATAAGATTAATTATGGTGATAATAATAGGCAGCTGGGGATAAAAATAATGATAGGCAGGTGGGAGGGAGTCATTGGAGAAAGAGGAGCCAAGTCGAAGATTGGGGATGACTGATGGATTAAGAGGCAGAAGAGAGCTTTCCAGCCTGTCAGGTTGAGGATAATGCGGATTTTAATAAATAATTTATGGAAGAAATGGAAAAAAAGCAGGTTACAATACTGAGAATACTGAAAACTGGAGAGGAGGGATCCTGACAGTTTGTGTCAGATGGCCTCAGTCTTTAGCGGAGTATAGGGGAAAGACGCTTGATATAAGTGAGTTGGGAATGTGACGGGCAACCAGAGTGAAGGGAGGATTGGGAATAGTTGTGCTTAGGGAATGAGGCAATTTAAGGTAGAGTTGGACTGTCAAGAATTCAAGCATTAGCTATGAAGCCCAGCTAAAGTTCTTGATCTTAAATTTTGTATTTTTTTTTGGTATTATCTAGAACTGGAAGGGAACTTTAGGAGTTACCCAGTCCAAGCCCAACAATTAAAGGTTGAATTTAAATCCTACTCTCTGACTCCAAATCCAGGTGTTCTTTCTACTAAACCATACTACATTGTGCACCTGTTTGTCACAATACTCCTCTGACATGTGTTTGACACTATTAATATGAATTTACACACATTTTTGTACATATTGAACTGTCCCCCTATTCTTAACTCAATCCTTGCTCACCAGTACTCTTAATGGAACAGTGGTAGGACAAAGACTACAAGCCTTAGGTAAAAAAGGGTTGCCACTGGGTTTGGTTGAGGCCAAGAAGTTTAAAAGGAGCTTCCAGGTAACAACAGGCATCTTTGGGATTTTGGCTTGGCTGCCCAGTTCAGAAGTTTTGGTTGTTGATGGGAGTAGTTAATGCAGTGATGGGGACCAAAGCCTAAGAAGACAGGTTGGTAATTCAGATAGATTTCTTTGAAGGGTTTCTGATCTGGGTGTCATCCTGAATGCTGACTTTATAACTAATATACTTTGCCTTGACAATTAACTATAATTAGACATTTGGACACTTAAAGTCATTCAAATGCATAATATGTGTACAGCACTTTGCTAGACTTTATAAGGGATACAGAGATGTAAAAGACATCCTTGTCTTCAAGGGAAGGAAAGAATAATTATGTATAATGAAAGCAGTAAATTGAATGGTACAGAATAAAAATGCTAGAGGCCAGAAAGTGGAGCAGTTAATTCTGGTTGAATTATTTGGGGAAAGGTTTTTGTGTTGGAACTGGGATTGAGGTGAGTTTGGAAAGCATGGCAGGAGTTATGTAGATAGGAATCTTCCAGATGGGCAACAGCATGAGCAGGGACTTGGAGTCTACTATAAGCTAGTAGAAGATGTGGGGACCAAGCCATTGCATTGGAAGGTTGTACGGGGCCACCTAGGGACAAAACAACGATCACCTTGAAGGGTCCGTTTACAGAACTACAAAGGATCTTAGAAGAAATCTAGTCCAAACTCCAAATGTGTAAACCCTGTCTCTGATTGCTCATTCCTCTGCTTCCCCTTCCCCATCCTCCCCAACTCTGATCTCAGCCTAGCTGTTTAGTGATCCTTGACAAATAATCTAAATTGAATGCCCCATGATACTAGTGGCTCCAGTTTGATAATTGACCACCTCCTTAAAACTTGACTCCATGACACTACACTGGTTTTATTTTTCTCTATCTGATTCTGTGTGATATGTCCTTTTCCTCACCCTGCTCGACCAACTGGATATTCCCAATAATTGCTGGGGGGTTTTTTCCATCTACTTTTCTCTCATCTCCCTCAGATATTTTATCCAGACCCATTGCTTCAACAATCACCTTTATGGCTTTCATTTCCATTGATGAAATCATATCTGTTCCTGATACTGAACACCTTGACAGTGGGCCTTTGGTGGGTTGAACTTTTCTGGACCTTCAGTAGTTAAGCTGCTGAGGAAGTGGGGGTTTAGCATTGGCATAGACAGTTGCTCCATTACATCACCACGTGACCAGTGCTGGAGAACACTGCTACTCTACAGGGTCCTCAGCCAAAAGATAGTCCTTGGGCTTGTTAAAGAGGCAACCCCTCAGTACTCTTAACAATCTCTCTCTAACCTAAGTGAGAAGACCGTAGTCTCAGACTTTTGCAGTCAGAATAACTCATAAGTAGTGGAAGAAGGTATCTAGGTTGCTCCTTCAGCAGCTGGTTGTTATTTGTGACTCAAATCTGTTAACAGCTGGACCAGATCATCCCCAATACCATGATTCGTTAATGTGGATGGGTCAGTAGCTGCTAGGGCCAAGGACATTTTTCACCTCCACACAGTTCTTTACAGTCCCAAATTAGGTGTTGCCTTATGTCCATGACTCTCAAAGAGACAACATAAGTCCCAAACAAGGCTTTAAAACTGTTAATCTCAGATTTATTCCTCATGTCCTTTACTCTTTTGTCCTAGTTTAAAATTTCTGGGCCATCTAGATCACACCAGGGGCTGACGTATACTGGCAGAATGAACTGTCTTGGTGTAGTGCAGAGTCAGACAGAGCATTGCCTGCCTAATGCTCCTAATGGCCATCTAAACCAGATTAAAAAGCAACTGGGTACTTTTAATAAATACAACAAAATATAGACAATATGTGGCTTTTCAGTGAACATGCAATCTGCAGGGATCCTTGTGTATGGGTTTAGTAGCCCTTGTTTCTATGAGTTTGACACCAGTGGATTGGGTGCTGGACTTATAGTTAGATCAGGAAGACATGGTTCAAATGCTGCCTCTGGGCACCTTTCAAATCTTCCCAGAAATGTACCCAGGATTGAAGCATGAGGTTTGACCAGGGCTGAGTACAGCAGGACCGTTACCTCTTCAGTCCTGGCCACTTTGGCTTCTATATCAAAACTGACTATATTGAGTTTGCGATCCACTAAAACTTTTTTTTAATATGAACTACTCCATGCTTCCCTCAACTTGTTGATGAAGGTGATACGAATGCATATCAATTCTGGTTATTTCTCTTGACATGGTGAGGCTCCACATTTGATAAGTAGTTCACGTGGTGCAGCAGTTTCCTGCTCTTAAATGCCCACCTTACATTCTTCATAAGGAGACCACAGCAGTGTGTACTTTACACCAAATACAAAAAATAAATGATAATTTAAAAAGCAACCACAAATAGCTAACAAATAAAAATTTTTTTGAATCTCGGAACATATTTGGGCTTAAGAGGGAGCCGAATGTTCTCCAGCTGCATACTTTGATTCTGTAACTGGATGAGCCCTCTCAAATGTAACATCATCCATACCCTCAAGCTGTGGCCTTCAAATAGACTCGGTTCAATCTTGGCTTCTTAGAAGTCGCTCCTTATTCACCCGGGATTTCCCATGGGAACCTTTGAATATACAGCTTGTGGGTTTAGGCTTCAATGGATGTGGTTAAAAGTTCTTGAGTAAGCATTCAAGCTAACAGTGTATATTTGACACAGGATTCTGCAGATAATGCAAAATGTAAAAACAGGAATTCATACGATCAATATTTTTTAAAATCCTCCATTGTGTCTTTGCTTTCTCCTAACTTCATAGTACTCCTTTTTGGTTGAGACCACCTCAGAAGAAATGCTTACTTGTCTGATGTGAAGCCTAAATTTCTCTTTGTAACTTGAAGTGATTGATTGTAGTTCTACCCTCAGGGGTCAAGCAGGCCAAGCTTAATTGCTTCTGTGTAATAACCCTTCTGATACTTAGAGATGGCTAGCTCATCCACCCCACCCTTCCCTCCCACTGGTCAGATGAGTTTTTCAGGCTAAAAATCCAAAGTTTCTCTAATGAGTATGAATTTGAAGTCTTTCAACTTCCTGATTGCTTTCCTCTGGACACCTTTCAAATCTTCCCTGAAATGTACTTAGGACTGAAGCATGAGGTTTGACCAGGGCTGAATACAGCTGACTATATTGAGTTTGTGATTAACTAAAACTTTTTTTTTCTTTTGGAATATGAACTCCTTCCTCCCCTTGTTGATGAAGTTGTTTATTATTATTATTATTATTTTTAGTGACACAGTTGGGGTTAAGTGACTCACCCAGTCACACAGCTAGTGAGTGTTATGTGTATCTGATGCCGCATTTGAACTCAGGTCCATCTGACTCCAGGGCCGGTGCTGTGCCCACTGTGCCACCTAGCTGCCCCACTGTGAAGTTGATTTTTGAGAACAAGTATTTCCATTATTATATTTCATTTTATTAGATTCAACCCAGTGTTCAAGCCCATTAAGACATTTTTGGATCTTGACTCTTACCAAAAAATGTATTGACTCTTCAGCTTTGTGTCATCTCTATTTTGGATAACATTTTAATACCAGAACAAACATCATTACAACACTTCAAGGAACTAGAGTTCCTTCCAAGCTAGCATCCAGTTCAGTTCAATTATTTATGAAGCTTCTAGGCACTGGAGATACAGAGATGAAAATGAAAAATTCCTTGCTGACAAGGAGCTTACATTAATTCCAAAAGGACTACAATTTGGGTCTGGCTCTTTGTAGTATGCCATGCTTGACCCAGGCTGATCACTAGAGCTCAGATTTGAGATTGAAAGAAAAGATTTATAGAACATTGAGCAGTTAACAAAAGGCTTATTTAGCCAAGACAAGATAACTTTAGTGAGCATACAGCATTGATTTGGTTGAGTGTAATTCTGTGTCAGTATTATCCGTGATGACCTGCTGGTTAGAAGTTTGAAGAAGGATTCAAGTGACTACTGGTGCTCTGGCTTTTGTACTGAGCATGAGAAATCTCAAGCCTGTAGTCTCCTGAGCCAATTAAGTCTTAAAGATGGCTTTAATACATTTTACTTTGATTTTTAAAAAAGTTGTTTTAATGTTAAAATTTCCTCCAGTATCCCTTCAACTCACCCTCACCCACCAGTCATCCTCTATAACAAAAAAAAATCTATTTTAATATATTATTTTCCTCAATTACATATTAAAACAATTTTTAAACTTTTAAAAAATGTTTTGAGTTCCTAATTCTATCCCTCCTTCCCTTCCTTCTCTCTCCCCTCCCTGAGATGGTAAGCAGATATAGGTTATACGTGTGTAAAACATTGCCATATCACGTAACAATATTTTAAAAGGAAAAACAGCAAAACTCAGTACATCAAAAGGATCTGAAAAGATGTGCAACAGTGTCATTCTTGTGGCTCTCTCATGTTTGCGAAAGGGTGGGGTGAGGGTATTTTCTTCTGTATTTTGTGACATTCACTTAGTTTTTTTACATTGTTACATTCTTTATGTTGTCATGATGTATATAGTTTTATTGGCTCTGCTTCAGTTTCTTTAGATCTTTTTATGCTTGATATTTATCATTTATTACAGCACAGGAATATTTCATTAGATTTATAAACCACAATTTATTTGGCCATTCTCCAACTGATGGGCATCTACTTGCTTTCCAATTCTTTACTATCAAAAAAGTGCTCCTGTATTTTAGTGTGGATGGGAATTTTCTCATCAGTGGCTTTTTGGGGATATAAACCTAGTACTAGAATTTCTGCACCCTTCAGTCACTTTATTTGCTTTTCAAAATGGTTATACTGACTCATAGCTTTAACAACACTGCATAACCCCTCCAGTGTTTACTATATTTCCATTTTCAGTCATCTTTACCCATTTGCAGGGCATGAGGTGAAACTTCAGGGTTGTTTTGATTTGTTTCTCTTATAATAAGATTTGGAACATTCTTATGGTTAATAGTTTACAGTTCTTTGCAAAGAACTGTTTTTGTCTTTTGGCCATGTTGCTATTGGGGAATGACTTTTGGATATACATACGCATATATAAAGTCACAATAATACATGTCATATAATGACATAATATAGTGTTTTGGATATCAAACTGTCTTCAGAAAAATTTGATAGACTTTTCCCCCTTTCAGTGTTTTCTCTTTTAAAAAAAACTATTAATGTAATTTGTTTTTTAAACATCCCATAACTCACCCTCCCCCAGAGCCATTCTATATAACACATTTTTTCCCAGAGGTTATATTTGTATTGGCTCATTAGAGATGCAGGAGAATCCCTGCTCTTGAAGACTTTACAATCTTACCCTCAGCTTCTGCTCTAATGTACCTAACTTTCCCTAAGTCCCCTCTCCATAACAGTTCCCTAAAACAGACCTTCAGTGAGGAAATGTACAGTTCCTCATATACTAAAGAAATGGTACACAGCT